TGAAAAACATTAAATAGATTCACAAAAAATGTAAATTTTCATTTACCACGGACTTTTAATGTAAAGAAATAACTAATCTTTTTCGGCCATTTTTTCACTAATTTTACCTCTAAAAACAGGTGACCCCCACCTCCTTTATTTGCAAATATCTCGACCTGTATTCAAGATAAATGGATATTTTTTTCAAACAAATAAAGACAAGTGAACAAGCTTTGTGATGATACCAATAACTCTACATGCCCTGAAATTGACGGGAGCCTGATTCCACCACGCTGCCTCACATATATCCTAACTCCTTTTCAAGACATTCCTGTATTTTTTTCACCAGAAGCGTAACTAATGAACAATTATTGTTGTTAAGGTTATGCCCATAACATCACATGCCCCCAAACTGACAATTTAAGCGTCTGATTCCACCGCATTGTGACACAATTCCTTTTATTATGCAGAAATCAGTACTACCCCCCCCCCCCCCAGGGGGCGGTGCCACTGACTGAAGTGTCTTTAGGCCATTCCCAAAAGGTGGACATTTCTCGTTCTAATGCACAGTAGAATTGTAAATGGGCTGATTCATGTCATGCTCATAACTGTGCCTGAGCTGCAACAGGGAACTGCTGCTTTTTCTTTCCTCATCCTTACTATCGTCATTTACCCTCTACTTCTTTTGTATGTTTGTCACTCTTGTGACCTGCTATTTCTGGGGTACCTTGATTGTCGAAGCAGACCTTGTGCTGCTGAAGCTCGAGAGGTGAGCAGAATAAGTTTGATTCCCTGTAAGGACTCTCTGTTGACATCCACCCCTTGGCGCTCATATGACCTAATGCAGTTGCGAGCGTCGTAAAACCTTTACTAAAACAAACAAAACAAAGAGGTAACTCCAGGTAAAGTAGCACATTCTTGTTGTGCACAACACATAGGCCTACTGCGTATACACAGAATTAGATCTAACATTTTTTTTCTTTAATTCCAACTTAACATAAAAAGCGTAATATTATATGTATGTGTCCCGAGCGCTCATATGACCTTATGCAGTTGCGAGCACATTAAAACACTTACAAAAAAACACACTAAAAAACACTAACCCCTTCCCCCTCCCCCTCCCCCCTCCCGAAAAAATAAAACACACAAAAAAACAATGTCATTTTTTAGAGTCAAGGCGAGTTTATTCAGGTTGGTATTTGACCGCATACCATTCCAAAGGGAACATCAGACTTTGCTTAACTTTGCTGTTTGACTTTGATAACAACTTTATTATAATCGCGTAGAAAACTGGAAGGAAAGATAAGGCTTTGTTTGCTCGCGATTCGCGTCAACGCCACCGCCCTTTGGGAAAACAGTCAACGACATTATTGTATCATTATTAATATTATTATTATTACTGCTGTTGTTGTCGTTGTTATGATCATTCTTCTTCTTCTTCTTCTTCTTCTTCTTCTTCTTCTTCTTCTTCTTCTTCTT